CCCCCAGTGAAGCATCATGCCTATTTCACTGGTGAGGAAAGCAAAGCAAAATGAACAGCTTCCAGCCGCAGCAAGTCAATTCCTACCCGCTGGCAGTAGGTCACTGAAGTGCTCACTTTCCATCTAGCTATGAGATCAGTCCCTATCCGAGATGTGGATATAGTATCCACATTCCAGTTACTCAGTGCATGAGCCTGGATTGGAGCCGACCCCTCACTTCTCCACGCAAGCTTGTTCTGGGGAGATCCAACCTTCTCCCTGGTCCCTGGCTCTGTCCTGCTCCTGGAGCATCAGGACTGCACTTCAGGCAAAGATCCCAGACCCCTCACAGCACAAGGGCTGCAGAGTTCATGCTGACCAGCATGCCTCTGCTCCGTGCCGAGCTCTGCACCAGATAGACACGCAGGAGAATGCAGCCCTCTAGAGCCAAGCCCAGAGATCCGGATACCATAAATACACTGCATGCCAGAAAAAGCCTTTCAGGCCAGCTTGGAAGGACTTTTGTTTTCAAACTGCACTATGCAGACGCCCCTCTAATTCCAAACCTCACTGGAGCAGACATCAGGAGATAAGAGACCTTCTGCAGCTAAGTCATAGTACAGAAACAGTCGTGTCTGCTCTGCAGAGAGCAGATGTTAAAAGCAAGCTGGGACGTGATTTAAGTAGATAGTACGAGTCACCTACTCTGTGGACAGAACTGATTGCTCACACTGGTCTCCCATGCTACGAGACGCTAGTAGCAGCACCAAACAGGCAGCAGAACGTTTCAGTCCATTAGCTTGCAGTCATTAAAACTCGGAGGAGGTAAGGCTTGAGCCTCCAACTCCAGCAGCTGCGTGATACAGCCTAGCAAACACACATAGAACCTCAAAGCAAACCATCCCTGCACCTTCACATCCCATCTGAGAAGCGCCTGCTAGTAGACAGCAGGAACATCTCAAATGCTTGGACATCAGAGATTTAAATTGGCAAGAAAAATACCTTTTAGGAAGGGACTGCAGACAAAGATAAGACCTTCCAAGGCTGCCCACAAAAATGCTCTCTTGAATGTTACGCTGAATTCAGTTCCTGATTTGGGATCTTTATGAAACAGAAGCAAGCACGTCCACCTCAGAGATAAGAGGTGAACAGTTTGCTTTTAAATCCCATGGACTCTTCAGGCTGCCTTTCCTGACCCACACTGCACTAACCATTAGCTGGACCATCATGCACCAGCCCAGGCCTCCAGCTATTTTCTTGATCTGAACCAGCCACTCAATAGTTAAAAACCCAGAGATTAAAAAGGAAGGAAAAGTAAGAGCATGTACTACAGAGATAGCCTCTACAATGTGTCCCAGTCATAGACATGACTATCTATAGCAGCTGGAAGGCAGAAGCCAAATTCAGCAGTGTGGCAGAAAGCCATATTTTTCTGTGCACGCCTGACCTTAAGAATTACTCCAATGGTTTGTACTTGCCACCTCAGTTTGACACATGCAAGAGTTGTTTGCAAACTCAAATGAAAAAGCTAATGGGATCTGGCAACAGCATAAACCCGAACTGGTAACTCCAGGACAACGAATCCCATAGCATTCGGCTTTCTAGTAGTTTGATTTCACATGATAAAACGTGGCAGGAAAATTCCCACCTGTTGAGACATTATGTTCTCATTTCTTTGTTTTTCCTGGCTTTAAGTCACTTGGAGCCCGCAGTCTTTCCTGGCACAGCCTGATCTGCAGACCGCAAACACACGCCCTTCACCTTTCACAGAACCTTGGGCTCTGGTTACGGTGAGAGCTCAGCCCACCTCCGGGAGCTCCTGCAAAGGTGCTGGTACTTCTTCATCCTCATTTTACGACACACTTAAATTCTGGAGTCAGTGACAAGGGGCTCCTGGCCTGAGTACAGGCAGGACTGCTCCCAGCAGTCCTTGGCACAGAGCTGAACAAATCAGATGACTCAATACAGCCGCTGTCGTGTTTTTGTCACTTTTGTCACACACTGCATACCATTGGCTCCCCTTTCCTTACTCTTCGTCCACCACTAAAAATAAATGTTAACACCAAAAACACCAAAGGGGCACAGTAACTTCACACGACGTCAAAATTGGCATTTCAAGTATCTGTTATTCACCTGCATTCTCTCCTCTGATCTCACGTCCCGTGGGTTACATTTTACCGTGAACTCTATACTCTGGGACCTGCTCCGAGGGCTGCCACCACCCATCACGTGTGCACAGTGCAGCTTAAGCAACAACTATATGTGAATTACTGCTTAGGGGAGAGACAGCAGAGGTGCTTAACGGCTCTGTCTGCCAAGCTTCAGCAGTGCTTCATTCTGAGAGCTGGTGTCAATACGCTGCTGTGGTCAAGAGTCGTATCTAGTGACAGCCTGCAAATTCTTTTTTCAGTGCTCTACAATCTCTGCCCGTGAATTCCCTAGAGCCAACAGCAGCGAGCCCGAGATTGTGGCTTGGCACATCTAAGAGGTTTGTTTCCACAGAGGCTGAGAGCCAGAGTCTCTATTGGACAGATTATAAGCCACAACAAGGGCAGTACAGAGATGTGAGCAGAACGGTCCTCAATTCACACCTTGTCATTTCCTGTGAGAGGAGACTAGGCAAAACCTCTGCTCTGCTAGTTTACAAGACAAAGGCAGCCTGAAAGGGGGTCAGTGCAATAGCCACCAGCAAGCCATCCAAGCGAAGGCTCGCACTGGCTAGGTGTTTCACAGCAGGGCAGGAGGATGAAGACGTTAGGCCATAGTCAAAATGCTGCTTGCTCCAGTGCCAGGAGAACACAGGCCAAAAGCTCTTAAACCAGTCTCCCTTCAGAGCACAGCTACCCCCAGTCCACTAAAAAGGGCAGAAAACATGAGAGCTACAGCTAACAAACCTACTGATTTAGATGATTGCCAATAGCAATTGTCACCAGCGCAAGGCAGCACAGATCATCCAGGATATCCTGTTCAGTCGTAAGCAGATTCACAAGATTACACAAACCTCCCTCATGCTGGGCTTCTCACAGAAGCAGAGTGAACCTTGAGCCAGTAAAAATCCAGCATCAGTGTGCTTAATAGGGTGGAGGGAAGCTGCTAGAGAAAAAGGTGAAACCACATCTTATCTGAACAGTGAAATCCTCAGGAATGATTCAGCCACCACTGAAACAAAGACTTCCTACTTGGGCACAGAGGTGACGTAGTGGATCACTCTCCTTCCTTCCCAAGGAATGTGGATTCAGGGTTAACATATGACTCAGCACTGAAGCCCATGTTCTGGAAAGACACCATCTTTTTAGGATTTGTTAAGCTGTAAGCTATTAAGCATAAACCATGCTCAATTTCACTGCCTGCTCAGCACTTCTGCCATTACCCTTCAGCCCTGCCACAAGGAAAAGCAAAGCGGTCCAGACACAGCAAAGCAATGCAACTTCCTTGGATCAATTATGCAAGATTTTTGTCTTGGCCTCATCACAGAAGTTACTATACTGTCTGGTGAGTCCACGGTTGTACAACATCTGCTGGGGGGACTTGGAAATGGTGTAACTTATTCTAATGAGATAGCCAAGACTTCTTTCTGATAGCCTACAGGATCCTTTCTGATGAGAGCATCTCATCACAAACTGCCATTTAAATCCCACTGTAGGCAAGACAGATGTACACAGAAGAGTCCTCTACTGCGGCTGAGCCACACTATCCATTTCCACAGAACAGTGGTGGTGGTACCAGGAGATAACTTGCTTATATTCAGGTCACCTCTGTAATGCAGCTTCCTACTGGAGAGGACGGAAGCTCTCCTAGAGGCCTCAGCAGACTAAATTCTGGATCCCTTCTAGATCCAGCTGCATAGGAACAGGCCCTGCTGGTTGTCACCCTCTGCAGAGGTCTAGTAGGAGACTAGTTCATAGAAATCTCCCTACCCTACTTCCAGTAAAATTAGCTAGGTTAGTTCAGACCAAGAATTTAAAGTGTTTTACATAGTTTTAGAGTAAGGTATTTTAACACTCTTTACAAAACTATAAGTTTGAAAGTCTTAAAAAAAAAAAAAAAAAACAGCATAGAATACTGGCATTTCAGCTTAATACAATTTGGATTTCCAATACTTTAACAATAGTTCCTCTTTCCTGTGTCTTCCTTTACATTCACTAACTTCCTTGAAACCTATGACAATGCATTTGACTAATGAAACCTTATCCATGCAGGATAACTCTTAAGCATTTAACAGGGTCAGAAAGAATCCTCCAGTTTGCTGGGATATATTTGTTCCCTACAAATCCAAACATCTCCCAAACAGCGATTCATTAAACACTTTCTGGTGTGCCCATGATGCCACTTTCCTTCATTTCAAGCTGTTGGAACACATTCAAAGCTAAAAATATGAACTTCACCTACCATCTTTTTTCCACTGATTATCACCACTGTTTCAGATGTCATTGCTCAGTGGGAGCAAGCATTTCTACAAGATGCTCTATTACATGACGCAAGCTAACAGAACTAGAGTAATTCATCAATGTATCTTACCTTCTACATCGTACCACTGGGCACCATTTGTGATGCCATCTTGGAAAGTCTCTCCCTCCTCACCAGGGCAATTTGGGGTGCCAGTTCTCATTATGGGGTGATTTGACGCATAAGCTTTCGCCAAGTATCTGAACACTTCATCATCTGCTGATTTACTGTAGACTCCTGTGGGCTTGTGTGTGGGAGAGTCATCATAGGGATAGCTTGCAACCACTGAGCCACCATGAAGATTGCCAGAGAGTAGAAACCTGGGGTTGGGAAGGGGGAAAGAAAAGAGCCATATTGGAACAAGAGAACACTTTCAACAGGAAGCCAGCTACAGCCACCCAACCAGTTACTCCACTGCTTTCCTACCCAAAGCATTCTCAGCAACCTCCAAAGTATATTTGGGATCAATCAGGCAGAACACGGCCGCTCAGCAATGCTATTTTGTTCAACAGTACAGCTATTTTGAAAGAGGAAATGATCAGACATTTCTCCATCAGCACTGTGCAGGGAGAACTACTGTTGAGTTATAACTACACGAAGGTTACGTTAACAGATAGGCACTCATCCTACGCTGAGTAGGCTTCCGTTTGACAAAGAGATAGCAAACTCTTCTTTGAGACATATCCTCTCTTCTTAAAATCAGCCTCCAACACAGCAAAAAGGATTGTTAGAGGATTGGAAGAGCATCCAAGTGCGAGTATGTTGGGGAAGTTGGCAAATATTTTGCAATAAACCAACTCTCAGGACTGGTTTATTCACTTCCCAACTTGACATCAGGCATTACTGGACATGAAACAATTTTCTTGCTTCAGTTTAAGACAGAGCCCTTTAACTCTATTACAGAAAAACAGTGCCCTGTACATAAAGGGACGTACACAGCTCTTGGCCGAGCTTTGAGCAATGCTTCAGATGTACTGCAGGACTGACCTGCATAAAGAAAATCTGAATCAGTGAAAGCGCTGTTAAAATTCCAAGTCAGAACATTCAACAGCACAGCAGGCCCTCTATCACACTTTAATTTGATCACAGGCAGTCACAAGTTTTCCAATAAATCTTTAAAGACTAATGTCTCCTCCTCTTTTCACCAAATACAGTACTAGGGAAAATGAACTTAACTACTTCTCATTCAGTCAAATGTAATTTAGATTCTAAGCAGACGTAACGTGACCAATACCTTTGCCTTATCTGAAATACTGCACATGAGTTGCATTATACCCACTAGTGTTTCTGAGAGCAAACAACTCTGTTTACCCATTCATTTTTGTACTAGCGATTACATTAGCACAACAATTGTACCAGCGTTAACTGGTGCTGCCAGGCAGAGGGATGCATAAAGCATTGTATTCTTCCTGTTCTGGCCTAGCTTACAAAAAGAAATCCCACCTCAAACGTTTGCTAAAAAACAAGGCATCTTTGAAATAATGTTAAGAGCATGCATGATTTTCCCTACTGACTAATTTTGAGTTTGACCAAATCTGGGGGGTTCCTACTGCAAATCGTTGCCTCAGAGCTGTTCTGAAGGATCCTTCAGAACAAGCAAATTACTGGTGCAGTTTATGAAATTCTTCTGGAGTAATAATCCCTGCGGGCACTGTGATCCACTAAGTTTTAATTCAGACAACTCTTCAAACTTTGGTCCTTAGAACGGAGCAGGCATTACATGATGCTGAGCTCAGGTGTCGTTTAGACTCGGCCAAGAGCCTTACAGCGTACCACCTCAGTCATCCCATCAGTTTCTTTCTCCCGTTTTGGAAACGGTTTGTTTCAGTCCATTGCTCATCTGTGATCAGACCCTGCATTCTGGCTTTCTTTACACAACTTTACGTGCCTGTTTTACACCAACATAATAACTCTGCCTCAGTGGTTTGGACGTTCTACAATTTTTCTAAGGGAGAATACACTGCAAATGAAGGAACAGTGCTTAGCCCAACTACTGTTCTTTTCCAGATTTGCTCAGGCCCCCCATTACAGGGCTGCAAGCCAGAACTGGACTTTACAGGCGACTATCTCCCCTCTCAGGCAGCTCTGCTCCAGCACAGACACTTACCATCATTCATCCCCTTCCTTGTTTAGCTGGAAGGTGAAAGACTTATGCATCAGCGTAGGCACTTAAGGCTCAGTCCTACACACACTCAACAGAAGGACAGACAGGGAAGAGGGCTGCACGAGCAGGGCCTGCACTTGGAAATGCTGCTGCACATAGCTGTGTTGCTAAACTCAGGGAATTTTCCATGCAATACAAAGACAGAGAGGGGGAGAAAGCCCTGCTCAGTGTAACTCTTGACAGGCCTCACTGTTGACATGTGTACACAGAGCGGTTATAAGCTTAATCCCCATTATTTTAAGCATCCCACAGCTCATGGGGAAAGCGTTATCCGTCCCAAGAGCAAGGTCCACAGACAGGCTCAGGACAAAGCAGACGAGGGAAAGAAGTTTCCAGCTGCAGTGGGGAGGGGAGACGACAGACAGCTACAACGGCAATGAGTGCCCTGGTGCATGCAGGGCGCTGGTGGTGCCCAGGGGGGCGGGGCGGCTCCGCGGCAGGCGCGCGGCGAGCTGCGGCAGCCCAGACCACGAACC